CTGCTTCTGCTTGACCTGAGAGAGGCAAATAGCTTGGACGAACTCGCGCGGGATGCGGCCAGTTCAACACCCAGGGTGGAACTCCAGAATTATGTAGACTCTTGATTATATATATAAGACCCCCGTATGAAGAGGTTTTCAATATCCAGATGGGAAGGTTTTACTATTCCAAAACTAGTCTTATTCATCGAGATTCTATTCCACATTACTCCAAGTGCTAGTAGCTTTGGGTCAAATGCGCACTGGGATGTGTCGCACTGAACACTTCGACCAGGTGATGAACCATGATCCCTGTTCGATGTTCTCGGGCTTTCACTTGGCCTGTTCTGGGGCCGCAAGCATTCTTTGAGCTCCTTGTCGTCACTCTTGCTGCGGAGCGTCGAATTCAACGCCTGCGGTTTGAGCGATGGAGCGAGTCGATCGACGAGTCGCTGTCAGCGCGTTGGGTCTACCTGGAGCCTCCTGTCGGGGTGCCCTGTCTGGAAGCCTATAGGTAGTGTGGGGTAGTCCAGCCAGGACACCCCGACAGGAGGGTCCTGGTACATGATCCATATTCTCATTCTCTAACACTCAGACAGATGGCGTAGCGCCGAAGTGGCCCTCAGGAAGCTGAGTCGGTCGCTTCGGTCTTCAATCCTTGGGTCAGGACGGACACCGAGGCCTCGCCGAGGACACCGGTCGACATACATAGGAATACTGGACACCACCCTCCACTCTGAGAAACCCAAAGAATCTGACACAGTCTGACACAACATCCTGGTTCTCCCAAGTGACCGAACTTGATCCTCTGGTTTTGAGGTCGCCAACAGTAAAAGGGCACAAACAGAGACTGCTGTTTAAGGTCACCGGCTAGAAGCTGGATCACACAACTACACTCTCCCCTGCTCAAAAACTGCCTCTCCTGCGCTTGCGGCGCTCGTGAACGTCCCGCCTCCGCTTGTTGTAGCTCCTGCCGCAACTGAAGGACCTGGTGAAGGAACCCGTCGAAAAACGCAACGAAGGGGAAGGCGCCCGGCCACCGGAGAATGAAAGGTCTAAGACGTTCGAGTGTTACTTGGTCCTTTTACATCTATTTCCGTCCGCTTGAAAACGCATATCTATTGTAAGCGGTATGGCTCTGGTCACTTCAACATTGAGAAAGGGAATGTCAACACCCGTCGTAGTAATGCACATATACAAACATACACTCTGACGCACGCACATGGAAGTGGAACATGGTATCTTGGACGGCTCAGAGCATCCCTCTCCTGGCAACGATCAACCTAAGCGAATTTGAGCAAACTCAGCACTGACATTGGTGACTATGGGCCCCTCTGGGCACTAAGGTTCTAACAGCAACAAATATTTCAACCTGCACCGACCGTCATGTTGCATGAGCAAGTATCATATGTATCGGAAGTTGAAAGTTTTCAGCAGAACTCAACATAGAAAAACGTCCTCATGTGAATGGGGGGTCCCAGTCGTGCCCCCCATTTTGTAGATATATATATATACATCAAACGTCGAACTCGTTGGCAAGTCATTGCCTTCTTCACCCCTCTATAACATCATAGAAAACAAGAAAAACATCATAGAAAGGACATGGCTTCACCATGTCGAATCCCCAACACCAAGGTGAGACCACGGCCTGTCTATTGGACAGGAAAGTATGCAATTAGTAAATGCCCAAATGGTTGCGTATGATCTTGCGACAACTCACTCTTGTCTGTGCTCGACTCCCCAAATCGTCCAAGCCACGAGCTGCCGCTCCTCTTCCAATTGACGTCTCAAATCCTGGCAGATCAGATCGGGAACGAACTTACCCCGTGGAAAACTACTGGTAAAACCACTGGAAACCTGGAAAACCACTGGTTTGGCCTTTGGAAAAACAGTCGGACTCCCATTCCCAGGGTCCATGTGAGTTGACTCGGGAGTGTCAAGCGAAGGAAACCAATCACCGGAACTCCTGGTTTTCTTCGGGTGAGTTGCGCATCAATCTTTTCAGGGGTGATCGAGGAAAGATGGCACCCGGATCTATAGCAACGACAGGAGTCCCAAGATCGAAGGAATCAAAGAACAAGAATTACATATTATATATATATACACACCCACACACACATACACGCACGTGTATTTGTAGAATCCTGGCCCAGCAAAGAAGGCCCACGCAGCTGGTGTCCCAGCTGACAAAGATGGTGCAATCTTTGGATGATCTGAACCTGTTTCAGCTGATGATAGTACCCATTGAATGTCAATGTTCTTAGCACATACCATAATCGCGTGCCCACCGACAAAGGTTGCCGAAGGCTTTATATAATGAATCTCTAAGCGTGGTGATTCCTGGGCAAATTCTACAGCATCTTCTGACATGTCCAGCCGACTTTTTGCGCCAACAAGCCGAGCGATTCGACAGCTGCGATTCAGCTGCAGTGGATAGGATCGGATAGGTTCGAGGCGATGGATTTCCATCGCTTGAAAATGACTGGGTGCCAATGCCCTGGCGGCAAAGGCGTCCAGTCCATGTCTCGTGCAAGATCTGGCTCAGGGGTGAGCAAGAATGAATGGTCACCCGTTTCGTAGATCCAAGACGGAGCATTCTACAACGAAGAGGTCACCTCAAAAATGATGTTGACCCCTCCATAGCCATCCCTTAGCTGGCACAGTTCTCAACCAGGAACTGTAGAACTTCTTCTGCTTGCTTCATTTGGTGACGCTGTGACTTAGCTGGGTCTTTTCTTTAAATCACTGAACAACTTCCACCAGGTCAACCTCCCAAAGCACAGATCCGCTTTTTTCTCGAAGTTTTGCCCGGCAAAATCGCTGGGGCAACGGGGCAACGCTGGGATGATCGCCCGTTTTGTGGGGGTTGAGGGTTGGCTTGGAGTTGCAGGAGCCCGGAGAAGGATTCACCCATCCGCATCCACAGGGACATTATATAGTTAAAACATCACCTTCAGCAAAACCAGGTTGGCTTGGAACACGTGGATCATGTGGCAACCGCTTTTCCGGACGCACCAGTCGACCCGCTTCACCGAACCGGCTTGGCTCCGTCAAACGACGGGAGTGTCACCTGAAAACATCGTGACTGGCACCAGTCACGAGGGAGTATCCGGATTTCTTGGATTTCCACCCGAAGAAACTGGAAGAAGCGATCTGTCGGATGTGATCATGTGACATGGTCTGCAATACCCATGTTGCTTGTATTAAAACTAACACTTAACGAATCACACTTACCACAAGGCTCAGTACGATCGCTCGAAACTTATTGAACCTATACAGGAGCTGTTGACAGTAGACTGCGTCTCCGACTCCATCTAAACAATGCTGTAAGGGGATTCACTTTGCAATCCTTCTCATCACTTTTCTCTCCGGGGACCATGAACAAACATGAAACAACCAAGGCCAAGCCGGGTCGAATCCCCAAGAAGAAACAAAGCCTAGCGGATCCCAGTTCCCACTATATACGGAACCAAGGTTTCTAGGTCTATATGATTTGTCTTTGGAACCACTGGTTGCCAGCTATATAGCTATAGGTGGTAACTAGATGCACTGGGAAGAACATCAAAGAAACAATTCCTCGGGGCAAAAGTGAAGTAATCAACATTTTGTGATCTTCAGAAGGGGACGACGACTCTCTCAGGGAGATCATCCACTCATCCACATGTCTCGCCAAAGCACCTGACTCGCCAAAGCAACACCTCCCAAGCGAATGCGTCACTTCATCGAGTCGGATGGGTGGGTTCCGAAAAAAAAAAAGACCAGCGGCTGCGTGCGCGTGCTCTGATTTTCCGAGCTCTCCCGGTCGCCTGAACGCGCCATTTCGTGAGTGACCCAGGCCGACAAGATTCCAAGCCCCATCCTTTCTGATCCTGGGTTGATGAAGTTCTCGCTGGGTTGTCCGCATGGCACTTGGTTGGAGGCGAGATTGTACAGGAAAAGGTCGAACCTGTAGGCGTTGATGTCATGGCCCAAGTGGCCCAAGGTGAAACAAAATAGCCAAACAGGTTTGCACATCCTTCACACAACTGGTAGCAATTATACAGTAGTAAGACAAACCATATGGCCATATGGGGAACTATGTGATGCCTCCGTGTCGGTTCACTGCCCCGACACTTCCACCTTGGACCAAGCGCTGATGCTGACCGAATGCACTTGCCAAGAGCAAATTTGGCCGCTCAGCTTCTAAAATGGACCAGTCCTTTACTTCAGTCATGGAATGGAACATAGGCCGCATAGGAAGACACACAAGGGGTTCCATGTCCATCTGTGGTGGAGGAGGGCAAAGGGGATTTCTAGACTCGTTTTGTGGTGCTTCCAACAGTAAACAGAATGACGGGAGATCCAAAGCGGAAGGAGTACGACACTCCAATTTCCCAGAGCGAACATCTTGGCCACCTGAAAGAATTTGTTGAAATCAAGGCCAAATATAGTTTGGCTATAGATCGAAATCTGCAAGCCTAAAATCCTAGCAAGTCAGTGATGTTCTCTTGATGAGTCTTTGGATGCCTTTGGGCTTCGGAGTGGGCCAGCTTCGAAGTGTTTTCTTTCCGCTTTTCTGGCTCCCAGGAGCTTCGATGCCCACGCTTTGGTGCATCATCGCTGCCACAGAACTCACCCCCCCCGGAAAAAAGAGCTGGGTCCGTCGGGCTCGCGGATAGGACCACGAAAAGGCCTAACTTTGGAAAGGCCAATGGGGCCAAGGCCCTCCCACCAAAAGACGATTTAGGGCGGCACTCCACGCGATGATTTTTTTGGCCTCCACAAAGGACCAAAAAGCACAGGTAAACATGTGCGTTTGTTCGTAAACAAAAAGGGTTACATACATAACAACAATACATTGTACAATATTATTGTAGTTATATATATATAAGTATATATAAGATTATATAAGTAGTATATTTTAGTTTTACAACATGGGTGCCACCCAGGACTTAGAAGATCGAGTATGATGTTGGAATCTTAAAGGATCCAACAGTGCCAATGTACGCTCTCTGCGAATTTGGAGAAAGGGTTTCTCCTCCTCATTGCCGTGCAGCATGTAGGGCTGAAGCGGCAAGCCCTGGAAGCTTTGAGGGGCGGCGAAAACCCTTCCTGGGATCTGCGCAGCGGGCCTCAGTACAGCGCTGCCAATGTCAAGGAAAGCATCCGGCCAGGCCCAAAATAAACAGAGCGGGGTAGCATATGGGTGTGTATTGAAGCAGGGACGCTCCCAACTCCCAATGAATGAATGGGTTTTGGGCCTTTGCATTGAAACTGCACGGTCTGTCTACCCCGCAGTGGCTATCCTCAGCTAAGCGTTAGACAAACATCATAGATTTCGAACTGGAGGTCTCCCTATCCAAATGCACACCCATCCATTCATTTTGGTTTTATGTTCATTCTTTCTCGGAGGTGAAGTTCGATTCCTAGCGGATCCGGACACTTGAAAGGACGGCTATCCGGGGCCGGACATGTGACGTTTCCGGCCCACCATGCTACGCAGCGCACCGTGAATCGATGTGAATCTATTCCCTCCAGTTCGGACCAAAAGCAACCTCTACCACATGAAAACCGGATCCATGGCCGCCCAGACCCCCCAAGACAGCGGACCTACGATACGACTTTTCGCCGTTCCGTTCGCCCCTCATACAGTATGCTTGGTTGGACCCGCACCCAAAAAAACGTCTTCGGAACGAAAGAGGCCGTTTTTTGGAGACCGTCCCCAAAGCCAGACGCGAGCGAGTTCCCCCATTTTGCGGTGACGGTCTTCTAGCCGAAGCTGCCAGACTTTCTGAGACCGACTCCTCCAAAATCTCCACTCTCTGCCCTTCCTCATGGAGGGTCACTGCCACGCGAAACTCGCCTCGAACGTCGCCACGTGGCGACGGCGGACGGATGGCAACTCATCGGATCTTTGTTGCCACCATTGGTTTGGCTTCGAGGGGTGTCCATGGTCTCGGCCCCTTCGGCCCCTTGGGCTCCCAAACGCGACCCCTTGATATAAGATTGCAGATGCGGAGGTCAATCCTTTTCACCATCATTCTCTGTCGGGAAACTACCCGCATTGCAAGCCACACTGGTCATCGAGTCATCACATTTGGCAGGCAAACTTTGACATGGATCGCTGCCAAGCAGACTAATTAGCTCATGTGAAGGGTTTCTTGATCACCCACCATGGGGTCAATCGCTGGGCCTCACACCCCATGTCCCAGAGATTCGCGTCAGGTTCGAGCCGCCTTTTCCACCCACGGTGCAGCTGCTGATTTGCGTGGCACCTTTGAAGAAAATGACTCTTCCACCTTCCTCAATGCGAAGCCTGGTCGAAGCCGGGAAATCATTGGCGCCGCCCACAGCAATCGCGGTCTTTGTTGGATACGGTGCGCTTCTTTTGACACAAGGATGTTGGGTTCTACAGCCTTGCTTGTTGCTTTCAAATTGAGATCTGGCAAAGACACGCCAGGCACATACTGGCAAACATGTGAGCCCATGTCTTTGAACCGTCATCTCGACATCCAAAAGTTGCAGTGCTCGAGATACAGCCATAAGCTTTTTGCAAAACACCCAGCGTTTGCATTCCACTCCTTGACAACTATCGGCTTTAGCAATGAGGGGCAGCCAGCTATCCGCTGCTCATGTGCCCATCCCTGCCTATTATTAGCAACTCCAATTTCAATACAGTACAATACAGTACACATGCTGACCTCCCTTAAACATGTCTTGGGCCCCCACTGATCTCAAGGGCACCCAAGACATATCTCCACCTCGTCCGACGGGCTGGTGCCTCACCACGTCTCCATCGCACACGCCAGGTGCTGGACCACAGGAATTGCCACATTGCACGATCTTTCCGGACTTTCCTGAGAGGCCGAGACCGAGAGGCGGCGGCACCAACGACCAATCACCTCCTTCACCCGCGAATCCACAGAATTTCTGGACTTCAAAATGGACTTTAATACGATGCGATGATGACCATGAATCTGTTGGGTGCATGGCAGAACCTTGTGGGAGAACCTAAAGATCCCCCTCAACAAGAACCAACTACGGCCCTGCAGCTTGGGGGTGGACTTTGCCTCTTCAATGGACTTTAGGGGCCTTTAGGGGCGTATCATGCCCATGTGGCCAAGCAAAGTCATGTCAGTAGAGCAAAGCAATGCATGGCCAGATTGCGCATGATACTTGGCGGGACTCTTTACCAAAAAGAGTGGCAACCCTTGATCAACTTTCGCACCCTGTTGGTGGAAATGGGCTAGTCACAATTCAAGGACCCATCTTTTGCTTGAAGTCCCAGGCTGAGCTTCAATGGGGCTTCGGACATTTTGCGCTTTATATTGTCTCACTGCAGAAAGGCACGAGCCGCCGAAAGGATCCCAATGGGACAGGGGACAAGACCGTGTTTGACTTGGGGGAGGGAAAGAGAACCGTCAAAACATATCAAAACTGCTCTGAGTTGTTTTGGAGCTCTTCGCAACACCACCTGTTTGTACGTCAAACTCCAACTCTTTCTTGTTAAACAAAACTTAAACAATACTTAAATTTAACATATTTAAACACCGACTCTGCTGTGACGTCTGCCTGAAAAGCGTCGTATGCAGGCGGCGCCGAAGGAGCCTGGCAGCTCCGGCTCTCCAATCTTCAAGCCTTGTGAGCCTGGGTGGGATGTGACTGGTGCCGGAACGAGCTCAGAGCAGCATTTGGGTGGCCATAAGACCTGGATGAATCCAGTTGTTACCAACATGATCCGGTGAAATCCTAGATGCAAATGAATCCACATCCACATGGTCAATTATGTTCATGTCCTGGTCCAAAAGGGAAGGCACTCCGACTATCTAAGTGCTTGGCTGCTCGCACTCCCATCCACGATGCCAAAAATCATGGGGATCTGCTTTCCTCGAGCCGGTCTGGTGACATCAGTCATTCCAATGAGCTCCGAGAAAGGAACGCGTGAGGCGTGAGGAACCACCTGCCTTCGACCGTGCCATGAACCCTGACGAACACATCACATGGGTTTCGTAAGGAGTGCACCACCTCGTTTGTAAAGGACAAGTCGTGTCTTAACGAGGCCTGTGCCATCCACGTGATCGTCGAGAAGTGTTACCGTCTCTGTTCAGATCGGCCGACCGTCCGAGACGGCATGTCGGCATTCGTCTGTTCCGGCGTGGCCAACATCGAAGGGGACACGTGGGTTCCGACTGGCCCAACACATCTCCAACCTCAAGTGACCAAGACCAACCCGACAGGATATGGATCCCGAGTCACCGGAGGAGCGGAACCGACAGGTCCGTCCGGGCGGAGTCGGGGCCCGGGAGCGAAGAAACAGCTTCTATGTTCGGTTTTTCCAGATCGAAGACAGTGGGCGACCTGACATTGGATCAGTGGCACGCGGGGCCCCTCGTCTTCCGCCCAGCATCCGCCCGCTCCCGCGATCCGCATCACGAAGTCGCCCCGGTCCAGCCGCGTCAGCAGCTGCTGGCTGACGATGGTGACGGAGGTCGCCTCCGAGGTCTCTAGATGGGCACCTTTCATCCGGGCATCGAACCTAGGCGTGGGGCAGCAAGACATGTGGTCTTCCAATCACACGCAAATGGCGGCAAAGACATGAAACATCTTAGATGTTTAGTAGTTTCAATCGACTTTTGGAAGGATGACCATGGAGAAACAACAAAACATCTCGCAAGGTATTATGTCAACCTCACTGGGAGAAACAGCTCGGTTGAAGGGCTTTTGGAGTAGGAAACTCTCTTTGAGCCACCAAGAAACGATCAAGACGGACGACCGGGGCCATGGTTGAAGGGTGCAACGGACCTCAACGCCTTCACCGGTCGTTGGTGGTTTTCGTTGGGGACACCGGTGTTTCGGGCAGTCTTGGTGGTCCGCAGCATGGACCACACTGCCACCTTGGTGGCTCAAGGTGGACAATTCAAGACGACCTAGTAGATTTCCTAGACTTGACCGGAATCTTGCTGCAAGAGCAGCACTGAGCACCCCAGCCTCTTGCCAACCCATCCACCTTGTAACAAAAGGGTCCAAGTTGGTGCCGCGACCGACCCCAAAGCCTCTTGTCAAGAAACTTCACCTTGCCAAGGATTGGACTTGCCATCCAAGTGAAGCCGCAGGACTGCGGTCCCTCCGGGAGCCGCTGGATGCCTGACGACCCGCCGCTGGACACAAAGATCAGGAACGACTGGACTGAGCAAGGAGGTATATAGTCTGCCAAAGGTGTACGACATCCCCAGGAAGTGCCTCTCTAGAGGCTACAGTAGACACTCTCCTTTATTTCAGGTCATATCCACTAAAGGTCAACCCATGATTAGCAACCGCCCAGAAGGTCTGCTATTTCGGGGCGGGTGACATTTGGATGACCTGATCCAAGACTGAATCTCTTCATTAGGAGAGATTCCCAAAGACTAAATCTCTTCCTCACGTGAGGAGGGATCCCTTAAAACTAAATTTCATGAGCAAAAAGGTGTTGGAAGTTAATTGATGTTAATTGGAGGAATATCAACGGGCAATAGGACCATGGCATTCAATTAAAGGGGCTGAAGGAAGGGAAGAGACGAGACGGTCGGTTAGCATTGCAACATGGGCCCCAGAAAGGTGGATGGGGGTTGGGTAGCCACTTTGGGAACATAGGCCAGAAGGCTTCTTTTGAAAGAAATCCTCATTTGAGGAAAAGTCGGACAAAATGAAATAATAGGGGTCCCTTAATTAGGGGTCCTTAATCATTACATTGAGATTTTCAGGAAGCACACTCCAAATGACACGCAATCCGAACTCTTGAAATAGCAGTGCCGCTTTTCTTGAGGCATGGGCCAGGGGGGTGCGGGTTTCCGGAACTTTTCCTGTGATCGAACATGATCAAAGCTATGTCTAATAGGACAATCATGGAAGTGGAGGGAACATGGAAGTGGAGCATCCAAACATCGACCATCATCGACCCTTCTCCAGCATCCATCATTGGGAAGGTAGACATGAGAGGTCCACGTAGTCCATTGGTGGCCTCCACGTGTTGAAGTAAACATCTTTTAATCTCCGGACTCTCCTGCCTCCATACCCACCATTTCCGTCCTTGCTGGTAGCCAATGTCTGAGCCTCCCGCCAATTGAGCACGAAGGGTGACAAACAAACGAGCACAACACCCACTCCAATGCTGGATAGTGTTCAGACATGATTCCACCTCAACACTTGAGGTTTAAAGGATTTGACTCACGGCAAGGAGGTCTCATGTGCACAGCGCAGGTATGTCTCCCGTCAGGCCTGGAGGTCACTCTGGATTGGATCGCCTCAGTCGAGGGCATGGGTGCCTCTAGTATCTCTAGTGCTCTCCATTTGATCACCCTCTTCCCATCTTCGGGAGACTTCAACAGCTCCACAAATGCAACAAATGCGCCCAGAACGGACTGCATCTGCGAATGATGAGCGTACATCTCAAGAACACCAACCAAAATCTGATGGAGCTCTGCCCGTCCATAAAGGAAAACCTATAGCTTCCCTCAACACCAAACCAACACAAGGATACACAAGGTAATTTGTTGTGGCCATGCCGCATCTCAAAAAAAGGGAAAAAAGGATTCTGCGAACTGCTTGAGTCATGCAGTTGCATCTTGTGACAATGTGCCCGAGCATGTCCCAGATGCGAGGAGAAAAAAGGGTGGCCCGCCCTAGAAAGACCAAGACTCTGCTTGCAAGTTCGGCCTGTTCTTGCTCTCGGCCCTCCATCGAAGCCGGCTGGCACCTGGTCCCGAGTGTGGGAGCCCCACATCGAGCCATCAAACACACATGCGAGCAAGCCAAAGGAAGTGCCAAGGCGAGATGGGCAGTCCAAACCGATGGGCCAAACACCCTGCGATCCCCCCCGGCCCCTTCCAGTGGCATTGAGTGTGCGCCATACGGCCATACGTGATGCACAAGACCCAAACTCTGGATGCGACGATCATGCAGTACGCTACATATGGTGATCTGAACTGCCCATCATCAAGTCTGCAAACACCTGTGGCTGGACCATCATCACCAAATGCAGAACTCTAGTTTCCAAATGTTGCCAAGCACCAACACGAAACACATCGAAACACCACACCAAAAAAGTCAAAAAGAGGACTGGATTCTCAAATTGACCAGCCCTCAACTCTCTTCGGATGAAACGCCTGACAAATCATCAACCCCTTTGGGATTAATGCCAAAAGCTTAATGAGATGATGAGGGTATACCCCGCCCCAACCAGATTGTCTTCGCTCCATTCCCGCGTATCAAGGCTCAAAGGGGCCCACCGTCCTGTTCGAATGAGGGCCACCAATCACCAGGGGATATCCAGTCCACACAGCTGCCCGCGTCGACGCGTCCGGGCCCCGCCTGGGGGAGAGGGATGGGGAGGAGGATGCGCCCAACAAGACCGCCGGTCTGAAAGCCAAAAGGTGCACCCCCAGAAATGCCGGCCTGGTTGACATGGACCAGATGATCAAGAAGATTCGAAGACAGCACTTCATCGGCTTGATGGTTTAACCCAAAGTCTGCGAGGTTTAAGGCACTCAAACAATCAACTCCCAGAATCTCCCAGAGTTGAATCTGACGAAAAGAAGTCAGCCAAGAGTGATGAGCCTGGGCTTCTCGAGCCATGTCTGTGGGTTCCACAAATCATTTGGCGGAACATCCTGGATTGGGTTTTTCGTGTGACCAATGCCCCATGCTTCCATGCTTCCATACATGTCCATCTACTTCGCAGGTGCATGACTGGCACAAAACACCAAAACACACATGGAGAGTCCGAGCTACAAACAACACAAATCGATACAAATAGGAACCATTCTGTTCGAACTCCATGTCGATTCGTCTTGATTCCTGGCTTGGGCACCAGCCAAGGAGTCCTCCAAGGAATCTCAGGATTCGTGAGCAGGACGTTTGAATCGAGCGTTTGATTCGTCGCTTCGGTGCCACCTGGTGCCAACAATCCACGCGGGACGCCTAGCGTTCGAACTCCTGAAAGATCCTACACCCGGCAAAAGGCCCACATGGAACCTGAAAAGTAGACCCTTCGGAAGACAATTTTTCCTCTACAACCCGACGTGGTTTTGAGATTCCATGTTCATTTTCCAGGGTGTACTATTAGATCGTTGGTTTCCTCAGTGTGACATGGAGAATCCCGAATCCCTCTTATCGAACATCGTTGGTTGAGAATTCCTCTAGTGATCCCTATTCTAATTTGCCACAAACTATATCAGGAATCCTGTGGAATCATAGGCCTATGATGGCCCATGCTTTATCTACACGAATTCTCTGGTCTCCCCTGTTTTCGTCCCCACCGATCGCCTTCGCTTCGGCGCGCACCTCTGCCCCGCGATCTTTGCGCGTAGCATCCAGGACCGACGAGATCGCCGCCGCGGCGTCGGGGTCCTCGTCGGGGTGCATCGCAAGTAGGTTGGAGGCCAGAAGCTAGTAGGAACAAGAAGCTACTAGGAGCTAGGAATGCAAAGGGAAGAAGTACAAGTATCAGATCTTATTGGAACCATGGACAAATACCGAGAACATCTTTGAACCGTAATAGAACATAATAGAACCCATTTTGGAAAAATATGATATAGGGTTCTACAGAAGTGTTTCTTGCCCTGCATGCGTCTTGACACCGGCAGAAAGAAAAGGAGAAACAAGTTGGCTCGAAGGGGTGCCAGCCACACTCTGTTCGGCAGGTTTTCACCTTTCTGGTGGGGAATTGCGAAGCATCACCCCGACAAACAGAATTCATAGTCGAAGAAACAAGCTATCAAATAGTCATTTTGCAGTCTTTGAGTCTTTGAGATTTGGACACCCATTGTCCGATGAAATTAGCAAAATCACCAAACACCTAGTACGTCAGCAAAGGTCATTCTCCTGAAACGAGCCGAACACTTGGATGCCACTTCAGCCAAAAGTATGGAAATTCTTAGTGGCTGAAAGCCCCACATCGTGTTGAGCCGGTCCAAGGGGCTGGGAAAGTCCTACCACCCTCGCTCGGAACGCTGTTTCAGCTGCCGGTTTCAGTGCCCTGCAGTGCCTCTGAGAGGGCTTTGGCCAAGGAGAGCTGAGACCGGAGTTGAGCGACCTCAGTTGCTCGCTCCACCCGGCGTGGCTTTGATTCCTCAGGTGCCGACTTCTGGCGGCTCTAGGTGGACGGTCTGTGATGGTCTGTGTATACTGTATAGTGTACAATTTACATGCGCATTGTATTTCTATACTATCCGTCGGGCGGATGGCTCTAGAATCTGCTCCGGGATATTTTTTCCCACTTCAATCCGCTGATCGACTGTTGGACTGCGCGATTTGACGTTTAACAGGGGTACAGCGCGGAACTGTGCAAAAACCCAACATATGCATAACTCAGCCGACTGGAAACTTATCTTCAGGCACAGTTTTCTTCAGGTTTGGGTGTGACGAGGATGGCGGTACAGCCCTTTTCGCATCTTGGTGCACCAGCATTGGCTAGCTCCATGGCGCCATTGAAAGAAAAGAAACCGGCACTAGTTGGTGCAGACGCTCGACGCTCGCTCTCCTTATTTTTGCGGTCGTCTAGGCTTGATCCGACTTCTCCGCGAAGGGCCCGCAGAGTTCCAGGATGGACTTCACATCCTCGAACGGTGGATGGAAGACTGGTTTTCCATCGTTTTCCTCTGTACCAGCAGATGGTTTTTCACTTCCGTGATTGTTTCGGGGAGTGTGCAGATCTCATGTTGGGATATCTCTTGGCTGCCTCACCCCTTCCAAAACGACTCCAGTTGGATCGATGGGAGGTCCCAAAACAGGGTCTTCTCGCAGCAGGGACGCTGTGTCATCGGACACCGGCAGCTGGGGATCGTTCCTTTTTTTCCACTCTCCCTCCTCAAAGCCCACTACTCCACATTACTCCACTACTGCAGCAATTGGTGTCAACCTAGCACGACTTGAGCTGCTTAGGTGGTTTTGATCGTGACGGAACATGTTCACCCGTTTTTGTCATGGGGCCATGGGGTGTCATGGGCAACAAAGCCTGCAATTGAAGGACTGGATAACCGCACATTGTGAGGCTTTTCGGCGTTTTCAACAACAGGAAAGCACAAGGACAACCCACAGAGTGCAACTGAATGAGTGAAAAAGTGAGTGAGTCCAGAGATGAGTTGGTGTGAGTGAAAGTGAATGAGTGGAAGTGAGTGTGTAAGGGAGTGACAAATGCCCTCAGGAAGCTCTCAGGACATTTCAGGACTATCCCGAATCTCCCTGTGAATCTGCCTCCTCCAAGCTAGAAACCTACTCTGTCCTAGTAGCTTCTTGCTACTATAGTAGTAAGTAGTAATGGCCTCCAACCTACTAGCGATGGCCTCCAACCTAGTATCTTCTTGTTACTAACAACTGCATGAAACTCTGTGGTGCATCGAATTTGCTGTCAAAGCTATTCCCCCCCCGCTATGTCACATGCCCTCTGGGCCCTCTATGTCACAGCTGGTTCCTCTTCCCCCTGGGCTTTCCCCAGTGCCTCCCATCCATCGATCTTGCGTGGATTGCTCTGCACCAGGGGGTCGTGCATCGTCCGCCGGGCGCAGTCTTCCAGGTCGCCCTTGGCCACACCTACGTCCTTCAACGACACGGGAAGGCCTGGGAGCCGAAGCGGAGTGAGAGGAAGGCCTGGGAGCCGAAACACCAGCGACTGCGTTTGACTCATCAATTCTCGCTCTCGCTCGACCGCGCTCTCTCTCTCTCTCCCTTTTCTTACTCGCTCTCCGACCTCCAAACATTTGTAAGATATGATAGGCATCTGTGGGGGTGGGACGCTCGGGTTGTTGTGCCAAATCCCCAGTGACTCAGTGTGCGTTCTCATTGCACTCTTCACCACGAGCTCCACCATGCCCGCCTAGGTCTGCCACCAGACCAGCCACACAGTCAGCTGCAGTCCTTGGTTGAACCGTTTCCTGCTTGATGGTTTTGCAAAACACCCCACACAAAGACACTCAGCGGTAGCGGTTCCACAGCTCTGCTCAGCATCAATCAGATATTGTCGCAGCTTGCTCGCTCCCAAACACTCATCACTTTGAGTGCTTTTCATTCTTCATGTCCAAAACCCTTCTCACCTTGATCTTGCCCTTTCGGACTCATCACCAACTCCGTTGACATGTCTACTACGTAGTTTGTCGTGACACTCCTTGAGACCTGTTACAGTACACGGCACTTATGGCCCCAACGACCCTCAACTACGTCGTGTTGTAAGTGCTTCGCGGCTTCGTAAGCCGCAAGTGCCATCGACCATTGACCAGTTTCAGGCCGGCCGGCGCAGCTGGACCAGGTCAAAGTCACTGGACCAGAGCAACATTCCCGACTTGGAGTTGGACCCAAATCACTGGCCATATCCTGGCCCACTGCTACTACTACTACTACTGCTACTACTCCTAGGACTACTACTAGTACAACTACTAGTACTACTACTAGTACGACTACTGGCACTACTACCACCACCACCACTACTACTCCTGCTGCTGCTACTACTGCTGCGACTGTACTATATATTTTGCAAGGACCCAACCCTGCTTCTCTACAAAATGCTTGGATAGTATCATATAAGAAACAGGAAATCTGCACTACAAAAGTGGTGGGACCCAACCTCTATGTTGTCAATGTGTTTGACTACAAAATGGTATGAACCCGATTTTGAGTCACCAAAATGGCTGCAGAAATTTGCACTACATTATGGACGTACCCAACATCGGATATAATCATCTTTAAATGACACGTCTGCACTACAAAATTGCAGGGACCCATCCTCTATATCTAAGCATCAAGGCCTTGCGCTACAAAATCCTCATCTCTACAAAAGAGGTGCCTCAACGTCAACCTCTTTTTTTTGGCAACATATTATGATTGTTCATAGGGGCGTCGATTTTTCATTTTATAAGCTCTGGGGGTTTACAAAATGTGTGGGATAGGTTTTTTTTGGTTTATAAAATGAAACACCAGCTAGTTTATAAAATGACCAGCACAGGTTATGATAGGTTAAGATATATAGAATATATCACGGGGTTCACCTGCCCTCTATTACTGTCATTCAGTGTCCAAGTTAGTAAAGTTTATTAAATGACCTATGTACATCGATACTCCGGATCTTATGTAGTCATCCTCAAAAAATAGAAACATACAAACCCTCATGTTTATAAAATATGTCTTGGAATTTGCATTTACATTTTATAAGCCATCAATCACGGGGGATTTAAAAACCTCAACGTAGTGGACTTGAGACACCCCATTTCATACAGGAAATCGGAACGGGGATAAATATGTCATTCATCCAGGATGACCGTCGTGACTTGCCCAGCGTCGTCCTTGGCCGTCTGCCGCCCGCGCCGCCCGCGCCGGCGGCTTGGAAAGCTGAGACGACCAACGCCTGTCTCGCGCGGCTGGGCTCATCCTGGGCGGGCGATCGCAGTTCAGCGGACATCCTGTGACGTCGCTCAAA